GTCGCATCCGCGCTTCTCCGCATCAGATATTCATGTGACAGGTTTTTGCGGGTCCGCGTTTGCATCTCACAAGGACACTGACACCTTCCAGCACCTCTACCTCGGTGTTGGCACCTTGGGCCTCTCGCTGATCTTCCATCCGAACTTGAACCTTGATGGGTGGTGGGAAGGGGGGGGCTGCTGATGTTGCGATCCCACCCCAGCGAAAATGGTTGATTGGGAGAAGTGTCCCAGTGATATGTGGAGGTTCGAACATCCCTAAAATCCCCACAACATCATCGGCTTGGCCGCATGAGTTGGAATTTGTAACTGGCCGAGCTGTTTTGGTCAGCATGTGTTTACCTCTCCAACCAGTTGGCCCAGAGCCACCCCGTGCCGGTATCGGGGGACACAACCCGCTTCTTGCAAGGAACGGCTTTCTGCCCTCGGATATTGGCTGGGCCTTCTCCTTATACCTGGCAACTCGGTGACTGGCAGAGCCCGCGGCATTGCGCGATGCACATTTCGCATGGACACGTTTGCTGGTTTTTGCAGTGGCAATGAACGGAGGGGCGAGGGTGTAGAAAACGGGGAGCGTGCCTCAGTCCGTTCCGGAACCGGAAGTAATTAGAGGGCTTGTGTTCCGGAGATAGGCATAAATGGCATATGGCAATCATTGTCTGGGGATCTGGGGGCTTTTACGTCGCCTGTCAGTCGCGCTTGAGGAATCGGTGGCAGTTCTATGTCAGCTCTTTATGTTCATGAAGGAGGGCCGTGCACAGGAGCCGCGCAGCTGCACAGCTCGCGTTCTCTTGTCGGGGGGGGTGTCTCATGTGGGTCACAGAACCCCTTCTATTCCCTTTGAAAGGGCCAGCAAAAGAGTACCCTCAAAAAGAGACCCATTTTCTTTGAACAGCTAGGGCTATTTTCTTTTTCGTTTGACCATGATTTGAGTTTCCAGCCTCAACTGTACGCGCAGCGTGGTGTTGCATTCTTGTGCCTGAGGCACGCAATGGCGGAAGGGGCAGGTCTTTCCAAGCATACAGCAGTGTCGGAGTTCAATGTTCAGCGATCAAACGCATGGTGTATGCATCAACCGTGAGGTTTCCCCCCCCCCCTGCAGTTCCTGCCCATTGGGGCATCGCGGCATGTTTTATCATTTGTCATGCCACCGCCCAGTTGAGAGTTCAACCAGACGCTGGCACCGTAAGCGTCCGAGGTTCACCTCGCACTTCCTGGCAGCACAGGCAGGGCTCGAATTGGATTCGGCCTGTTTATTTCGGCAACCTGCCCCGCTGCACACGGCACCTCTGCTTTCATTGGAAAATGCGGGGTTTGGAGCGGCCCTTTCTGGGATATGGTGTCGTTTGTGGCATCGCATCTTGGATTTGTGTTTTGTCAGAGCCTGTGCTGGGGCTTGCTAGTTTGTGCCATAGTTTGAATAGACCGCAGGTCGCAGTCGTCTCCCCAGCTGAACCGAATCCATGTTTGACTTGCTGGTTCTCAGCATAGGTGGACTGACCCCTATTAACCATCCTTGATGGCTTCCTTTGAGGGAACCCCTTCCAGTTCATGTCCAAAACCCGGCCTCGGTCATTCTGTGAGCGAATCCCGGCCATGTTCGAAGGCCTGGCTCTCAAAAGTGGATGTAGGGGGCTGGAATACTGGTCCATCAACCATTTCCTATGGCTGCCTTCAAGGGAATCCCCTCCCCGGATCGGGGGTGCAAGGCCCCTGGATTTGCCATGGCCTCGACTCTCTATCTCTTTTGCCATCAGGCGATGGCCAAAGTCATGTCCTTCATCTTCTGGTTGTCCTCCTTCAGCGAGCTTTCGGACCCAAACCATCACATCAAGGCGACTCGGACAGGTTTGGACGGACTGGGCGCTTCAATGCTCAGCAAGTCCTCTTTTGGAGGGGGTACGTTGTTAAGAATTTGTCGGTGTTGTATTTTGCGGGTTTTTGTTTGTTTCGCGTTTGGCTTATTCGCAGAGGGAGCCGGTCCAACTCTTGCAGGTGGCTTCCCTATGGGGATTATGGAAAGTGGGATTGGCCAATCCTCCAGGTTGAACAGCCCAAATAGACACGTTTGCTTGGGGACAACGTTGGGAAGTTGGGATAGCCATTCACCTGAAGTCCTTATCCATCGGAGTCATGACCCAATCGGACAAAAAGAAACCGGGGTTTCGACCAGGGCTATTGCAGAGTTCAGCCAGCGGCTTTCAGGTCTCACCTTGGCACAGAAGAACTGCGATCCTTGGTTCAGCTTGATTCACTCCATACGGTGGATATCGGTGGATGGACGCAATCCTGTACCACCTAAGAAACCCTGGAATGTTGATTCCCCTGTAAATACCAACCAACCATGGTTTCCCATGTTTCCAAGTAGTGCGAAATGGATTTCGTCCATCCACAACTCCACAGCTCTAGACTGGAAGTCCTGCACTCCAGAACCCACGCCGGGCCAAGCACTTGGAATTTGCGACTGAGATGCCTGTCCGCTTTCGTTTGGACTTCAAGGCCTGATTAAGCCGGGGCTAGTTTAAAAATACACACACACACACACACACACACACCTCAACCGGACTGATTTGCATCGACATACGGTTCTAGTAGCTGACAGCTTGTACGTGTTAAGGGACTCAGAGCTGGCCCGATCAGGCCTTCGTGGGCAATTGGGTGGTGCTCGCACAGTTCATCCAGCTGCTGATCATGGGGGACTGGGCTAGGGGCCGGGTTTTCGTGCCAAAGGCATCTCCGACAGACTGTGGCAGTCCAGGGCTTGTTGATATTTTGCAGCTTCCTTTGCAGGGTTCCTTAAAAGATACATTTTACCCGTTTGAAACATGGCTTTTTCCACCAAACCAAAGGGAAACCACCATTTACAAGGCAATGTTCAGGTGTATAATGTAAGAATCCCTGCCCTTTGGAAAGACTAGGTTTGGACGATTCATTGTTGGCCGAATTGCTCTGAGCTTGCAGAGGCACACTCCGCACTCTGCAGTAGGAGGGGGACAAAGACAGCAAGGCTCAACATGCAAGCGAATGGGTTAAGGAAAGGCGTCACTGACAGATTGAATGGATACAGCAAGCCTGGCCTAGCAATGCCAAGCATGGAAGCGTGGGCCAGGCAACTTTGGGCCAGGCATTTTTGCCTAATTTGGGTGCCAATACATCCAAATAGCCCACATGCTGTTGTTTGCCCACAAAATGTTTGCCAGACCCCCAATTTAGCACCCAGTGATGTTGCGTATGTGTTACCATGCCCTCTTCCTGATGCCCTCAGGGCAAAGCAAGGGGTGTTAAGTTTTTCTCCAATACACTGCGGACTTGCCCGGTAGCTCAGTGAACGCGATTGACTTCGGCCACAAAGCCAACGCCGCACGTCGCACGTGCCGCGGTCCATGGCTTGCTGCAGAACGCACCTTCGTTCGGGAGAGGATTTCATCTACCACTACATGCGATGCATCCAGAAAGGCAGGGGCCGCTTAGAGACATGGCTCCAGGCTTTGGGACCGAATGAACTCATTCGAATGAGTGAACCATTTCTCTGTTTGTTGAGGGGGGGGGGAACTTCAATGCTGTTCAGAGCTGAAATTTCCGTCAGAATGGTTGCGCCAGTCTATGTATGTAGTGGTCCAATTCATGGACCTTATGGCATTTCGAATTGTTCAGATCTTCTATCCCACGATATTGCTTCTGGGTGGAGGCAATTATTCAAGTTTTCCTTGGTTTCAGGCTGCCATTCCCAACATTGCAACTAGGTCCCCCAGTAGTGCCCTTTAACCCTTTCTTGGGAGAGGGTTCCCCTACTAAAATAGACTACAGAGAAAAAGTTGGCACCCTTATTCTAACCTCTCTACTGGAGGACCTATGCAAGTTTCGAGGCGTGCAGAACCCGGCCAAAGGCATCCGAGCCGCTTGCGCAGGCATCCCGGTCTCGCAGCTGCTGCTGTCTGATGCCGTGTAGATGCGCAGGGTCGTTTTTCTCTCCGGGGCCAGGAGCCCCGCTGGGCCCTATCACGGGCGTGGGAAGTGAATCACCACTGGCGTCTTTCCGGAGCATGGGCGAAGATGTGCCTTACGGCCTTAGGCATGTTCATTGGTTTTCGCATTCCCCTTTTGCAGCTCCGAGCCCTTGGGGTCGGTACAGTGAAGAGCCAGGGTTGCGAAGAAGGCAATGAGCCTTTGACGAATGCGTCAAACGAAGCGCTGTGAGCCGTGCGAGGCTTACTTAAGCCCCCTAGCTCGACTACATTTGCTGGGACAATGGCCCAGAGGTTTCAGTTTGCGAAGGAAACTTTGACTTTTTCTCTGGACCGTCTATTTGACATTGGTCATGACCACCGTGCTAGCAACAGGGCAAAAGGTGTTGATTTGAGGCTTATGGCCTGGGGGTAAGGTTTTGGCTCATGAGGAACTAGGGCCACAAAGGCAGGCAAGTAGCAACGAGCGGGCGGGAGCTGTGTCACAGTCGCAGTCTGCGCCAATTTTTGGTCTCGTAGCACCACTTTGCTGGAGAAAAATGGCAGCTGGAGTGGTTTGCAGTGGCACTTTGTGGCTTGGCATGGTTACGGCACAGCAGATGCAATGCATGTGAAGGCGCAATGTCAAGCATTGGGCTAGGACCATGCAGATACCTGAATTGGGTCATGTCGCCTGACAATGTCACACACACACACACACGCGTGTGCATGTAGTTAACAAATACAAAAGTCATGAAACACTTACTTGCCCAAAGCGAATCGACCTTTTGACCTTTTGGTTTCCCCTTGTTGGTCCATGTTTAGCCATGGGCCCCAAAGGTGATCACCTTGTATTTCCAGGTCCTTTGGGAAAGCCATAGCATATTGTTTGGTTACCCTCACTCCCGCTAACATGGCACCTGACAGGGGGTACCTTTAAGAGGAAACTGATCTTCCATGTACCTTCATGCTATGTTAGTTGGAGGAAGGGTAGCTTATTTGCCTTGTGGCTCTGCTCCCAGTTTGTTACTTGTCACTTTGGTTGCGGCTCCCCAGGCTCTTCTCCTCTGGCAAGGACATGCTGGGCGTGTGGAAGCTAAAATCCGCAAGCAGCGGCCGCAGCCCCAGATTGCAAACAACGCCGATATGGCGAAGATCTCGCGAGATCAACGAGGGAAACCACTCATTTTAGAGAGTTTCGCCCAACTTGGGCGCGTCGTTTTTTTGGGAAGCCTTTTTTGTTTGTTTGTTATGTTTGAAGGGAAGCCACCTATGAAACAGATGCGACACGTCTCAGCTTGTTTCTGTTGGCTTTGCTTCGCCTTTTGCGCACCGCTGCTCTATGGCCCTCAAGGCCTCAAGGCCTTCCAACTCCGAAACGTCCGCGCGCCGAACGCGCGCAGCCACCCGCGAACCCGAGCGTGCGCCTGATGGCTTTGCTTGTTGCCTGGTCTGCGCGCCTGTTCGCTTCCCAGGCCCGAGGTCCCCATGGTGCGCAGCTGCCTGTCTTAGCCCCGTTCCGCAGCTCCGAGTTGCAGCTGCAAAGGAACTCGAGCTTTTCGCCGTGCAGTTTGCTCTTCTGGCCCCAGGCATCTGCCTCGATGCGGTGAGTGGTTGTCCTGCCCGGCGATATTTGGGCCTGTCCTTTCTGAGGGTTTGCTTTGTTGGGTACCTTCAACCTTTCAATCCACCCTTAAAGCAATGGATGGGTTCATAGTTCCCCACCATTGTTTACCGTTCAAATTGGGTCCCAAGGCCTTTGGTTGAATGGGGCAAGCTCTTCAAGTGCCAGCTTTGGACCCCTGCCCCGTCCGTACCAAACTTCAACCCAAACTCTTCAACCAACATGTTATTAGGCTCTTTGCGCTTTTGCCCACCAAGTCAAAGGGAAGATCATCTACCCAACTGCTCAACTGCTCACTTTGAGCGGCCTGTGGACCCGGTGCAAGCTCGACACTATTTCCACACGTATGCCAAGCATGCCTTGGCAAAAACAACGCTGACTGGGCACCCTGCCTTGATGTCATACTTGGGCTGTCTGGGCCGTCTGGCCATGCCAAACTGCAAGAGCTTCTGCCTGTCCATGTCGCAATGCTCGAGAAATCCGTTCACCTCTCCGATCAGGAGAGGGATGTGGAGGGCCACGACCGTTTGTTGGTTTGGTGCATGACGCCTGACCATGACTCGGCCAGGAAGCTGGTTGAGGACTTCCGGCGTCCGGGCGCACGCTCCTTCCTTGCCCCTGCTTCACTTGGTGGCTCTCAGCCATCCGGACACGTTAGTAACTTTTAGCGGGGGATCTGAAAACGGGCAGCCCAGTTCAGCGCCTTGAGCTGGTTGCCTTCGGCTGTGCTTGCTTCGGAAACGCTTCTATGTCGTTTGCTCCTATGCTTGCCTTCCTCCCAAGCCTCCTTGCTGTGGCCTGCAACTGCTTGATCTGTCCACCTTCTGAAGTCTTGCGATTTCCTCCCCTGCAGCCTTTCATCTACTGCCACCAGCTAACTTGCAAGACAGTCCCAGAGGCTGCGCTAAAGGCTGCACTTGGACAGGCTCCCCGTTGTCATTCTCAGTCCACAGCGCAACCTCGGCTTGGGAGATGCCTAGAAACTCAGCGTGAGGTTCTGCCTTAGTTGCGATTCGTTTGCTCCAACTTGCCTGGACAAGTCCTGATCTCTCTTACCGGCCCGAAAGTTGGCTTGTGGATGTTGCCAGGCGGTCTCATGCTGATCTTGCTCTGTCCTCTCGCAGGGGTCCCTATATTTCTATTTCTTTGTGGTTTTAAACGTCGCATTTTGTGCCCAAAGGTGGGCTTTTCTTCATGGTGATGTTTTTCAGAGGAAATGTAGGGAGCCCTGTCTCAGCTCCTTGCCGGCGCTTGCAACGCCGCCTGAGGCAGCTGGGGCCGCAGCGTGGGCTCCATCAGCGCGCAGAACGTGCTGGGGCCCTGGAGCCCAAGCCGCGTTGGGTTTTTGCTCTTTTTAGGTTTCGAGGAGAGCCAGAAGGACGAACACATGGTATGGGTCAAAATCACGCCACCAGGATATGGACCGCAGGTTTCAGTCCATGTTTCCATTTACCAGGAGTTCCATTTTGGGTACCCATTTTTGACCCAGATTTGTTTCGAAGGAAGCCCTTTTCATCAGTTGAGCCGGTGATGAGGTTTGGAGGTTAGGGGGTGAACCCCATTGACCCTCCACCAGAATCAGAGATTCACACCCTCAACCCCCCAATCCAAACCACGAATTGGGAGGGAAGCTCACTTTTAGGTTGATTCAAACGGAAAATCCAAAGGAAAACTGCAACGTGCCCAACACGCATGGCCCTTCTTTTGGAGTGGTAGGAGGGGGAGCCAAGAGGCAAGCAGCCATGTTTTGGGATCCATGTTAGGGACAGATCAAATGGATGTTTGCCTTGGGCATCCCGTGAAATAATCAGTCGTCTCCCGAATGCCTCTGAGTTTTACCTCACGTGAAAAGATAGCATTGGCGCTGGCTGGGCGCTGGCAGCTGGGTCGTGCCGTGTTTCGCGAGGGCGTTTTGGCTTGGAGCACTCGGCGCTGCGTTTTGTCCCCTGGGCGAAAGATAGTGCATGCCGCGATGTGTGGCGTTTTCGTCTTTTGGTGCAAGAACTGTCTGCCCACTTGCAGTGCATGTTGGTCACTAGCTTGGGCCCAAGAGTTCTGGGACAGACACTTCCTATGTTGGAACTGGTTTTCAAAGCAAATTTTGGGTTTGGGCAGGTTCTGCCCTTTGAAGAGGGATACAGTAGTTACCGATTCCTTTCATTGGAATTCCAACTGCGTGGTGCCGCGGGCTGGGTGTTTGGGTGGGGGTCGGGGCCGAAACGGATCGGTGATCGGAGTAATACAAGGTGCACGGGCGTTGCTTGGGCCGCCTCTTCCCGGGAGCTGCTGGTGAGCTTGGCCACTGGAGCCATCGTGGCGCTGACCTCAGCTCAGAGAGCAGGGGGCTGGAGAGGCGCCTGCGAAGAGCGGGGTGGAGCCAAGGTGGCCCCTTCTTGACTGCTGCTGGGTTGGATCTTTAGACTTCAAGCGTTTGGGAAATCAAGGGTTTTCCACTAAACCCCCACAAAGATAAACTTTTTGCACGGGGTCAACAGATACCCTGAAGTGATCCGGGATCACTTCAGGGTATCCCTTTTCTAGGATCCACTGTTCACCAGTTTGGGTTCCCATGAGCCCATGGGCGGGAGGGTCACTGGGTCTGTCAGGCCTTTGCTTTGGCCGACGGTACTGCTGGACCAAGCTACTCATGGCAGGCGCACGAGGCGGGGTGAGAGGAGTGCGAAATGGAAAGGGCCAGGCTTGATCTTTAGGCTCCATGTCTTCATAAATCTTTTGACTTTAACTTTTTGCCAAGTCAAGGGGTTTTCCACTAAGCCCACAAAAAGTCAAACTTTTTGACTTTTCGCTGGGGGATCAGCAGCAACAAAGATGCATGGTTTGCATTTCCACCCCCACCCCCCCCCCCCCCCTCACCCTCTGAGGGGAGTTTACAAGTCCACCCCCACCCCCTGAAAACTGGAATTGGCGGATTATGGTTTCATTTTCTCTTCTGGGGCTAGATAAATGGAATTGGGATCCCCAACCCGGTCCGCCCTAAAGGTACGGGGGATGCATTTTCCATGAAACATCACATTTCCCAGCAGAGTGGTTATCTGCGCACGTGGGTTGGCTTGCATATGAGGAGTTGTCAAAAAAGCGTGTAAGGATGCTCACAAGCAAACGCAATTAAGTCATATCTTATATCATTGCCGAAAGCATGGCGAAGGGTTCTTCCGCTGGGTTCGCTTGAGTTGTTCTCATGAGAGTCATTGCAAGGTGTCATTGCAAGGAATCATCATCATGAAAGTCATTGCAAGGAGTCATTGCATTGCAAGAAGTCATTGCATTGCAAGGAGTCATTGTTGCAAGGAGTCATTGCAAGGAGTCATGAGAGTCATTGCAAGTTGCAAGGAGCCAAGTGCATGGAGTCAAGTGCAAGGAGTTAAGTGCAAGTTGCAAGTGCAAGGAGTCAGGTGCAAGTTGCAAGTGCATGGAGTCAAGTGCAAGTTGCAAGTGCAAGGAGTCAAGTGAGAGGAGTCAAGTGCAATTGACTTGCGAGGAGTTAAAATCTCTTCGTAGGGCGGCGGGGTAGTGCCGACGACACTCTACGAAAACCGACCCTCCGCGGGGATTGGCGTGGTCGAGGTGCAAAAACTCGTGGTTTTTTGCAATTTTGCTTTGGCCCGCGTGACCCCCTGCGCGGATTGGCGTGGCCGAGGTGCAAAAATTCGAGGTTTTTTTTTTTTTTTTCGATTTTGTTTTGGCCCGCGCCTTCCTCTGTGGGGATCGGCGTGGTCGAGGTGCAATAACTCGAGTTTGTTTTGTGCGATTTTGTTTTGACTCGCAAGACCCTCTGCGGGGATCGGTGGTCGAGGTGCAAAAAACTCGAGGTTTTTTTGCGACTTTTGTTGTTCGAGCTGGTCGGAGTTGTCTCGCGCCTGCCCTGGTCCGCGGGCGGGCTTCGCAAGCTGCACGGAAAAACTTGCATAGAGCAACTTGCGCAGAGCAACTTGCGCAGAGCAAGTTGTGCAGAGCAAGTTGCACATACCATTTTGCGCAGAGCAACTTGCGCAGAGCAACTTGCACAGACCAGTTTGCGCAGAGCGCCTTGCCTAGAGCAACTTGCGCAGAGCAACTTACGCAGAGCAACTTGCGCAGAGCAACTTGCACAGAGCAGCTTGCGCAGAGCAACTTGCAGGGAGCAACTTGCACGGAGCAATTTGCACAGAGCAACTTGCAGGGAGCCACTTGCAGGGACCAACTTGCACGGAGCAACTTGCGCTGAGCAACCTGCACAGAGCAACTTGCACAGAGCAACTTGCGCCGAGCAACTCGCGCAGACCAACTTGGGCCGACCAGTTTGCGCAGAGCACCTTGCGCAGAGCAACTTGCGCAGAGCAACTTGCGCAGAGCAACTTGCACAGAGCAACTTGCACAGAGACACTTGCACAGAGCCAGTTGCACTGTTGCACAGAGCTTCTTGCACAGAGCAGCTTGCACAAAGCAACTTGCGCAGAGCAACTTCGCAGAGCAACTTGAGCAGAGCAACTTGCACAGAGCAACTTGCGCAGAGCAACTTGCGCAGAGCAACTTGCGCAGAGCAACTTGCACAGACCAGTTTGCGCAAAGCACCTTGCCCAGAGCAACTTGCGCAGAATGGTCACGGGGCTGTGATGCTTTCGGGCCAACCGTGGTCTAGTGTGTTTTCATTTGGCTTTTCAAGGCGGCGCGCGCCAGGATTTTGTGAATCCGACTGGTGGCGCTAGGAACACTGCTAGCTTCGCGCTAGACTTTTGTTCACCTCCCATGATGCCCAGGACTGAACCCTCAAGAGTTGATGCAGCCCGGTAGAAATTGTGGTTCAGAGTCACTCATGTTAAGCTTCCTGGTCCAGTCTGCAGCTGCCAATTGGTGCACTTCGAGTATACTAGAGTTGTACTGAAAAGTTGCGATTTGGGAGATGCATGTCTTGTACCACAGGTAAACAACTCACAAGCCGCAAGCAGGCAAGGAATGACTCGGCACACTTGCAATGCAAGCAGCATGGCATGCATAGGCACTCGCGTGGGCAAGAAAGTCGTAAATGCGCGTGCGTAGGCACCAAAAAAGACACTGCCCATTTGAAGGAAGCGGTGGCATGGAAGCATGCGCTGGGCGAAAGCCCTGACCTTCTGATAATTGAGTGTTGCAGCTGTTGCCCGCTTTTGGCAGCCATATTTTTGCGCTAGAGACGCGCTAGTTCGGCGCTAGCAGAAGATGCACGAACGTCTCCCGGGTGAGCAGGGATGGCAGGGGCGGCCAACAGATGGGCTTGAAGACGCGCTCATGCAATGCTGGCAGCAAGTAGGCAGCTGAAGAAGCACATCTCCTGCATGGCCGCTGACTTGGAAAAAACATACAGCAAATACTTCCAGCACTTGGACTTTGGTTGAGTTAGCTGCCATTCCCAAAGTTTTTTGGAAATGAGACTTGCAGCCGCGCGAGTGCGATTCCCACGAAAGAACTTTGTGGATGCTGTTTGATATGTGTGTTGATGGCTTGCAACTTTTCTTTTGCCGTTAGAGACGGCCCGCTTGGAATGCTGACTTATTGCGCGTTTCGGGGTCCTTTTTTTTGCGGAAGCCAACCACCCGGGTCAAGCCTACTGAACGCTAGGCCGCACGTGGAACCCCGTGCTCACTTAGGATGAGATCACGCACATGCAGTGGGATGATGCCCAGCGTTGCCTCATCACCGCCTCCAAGGACAGCCGTCGACGCGATGAATCACGCGGACTCGGGAGTTGCCTGGGAATGGCTAAGAGTTAAAGACAAGATGGGGTGTGTCTCTTTAAGGCAAATTTTTCCCAGCTGAGAACCCGCAAGTTTCGGGACACGAGAAGCTGCTTCTGCGTGACTGGTGGAAATCTATGTCCTCGAGAACGACGGCGCTGTGGGGGGGGGGGGGTTGGGGTGGGGCAGCATCCAGTGTCGATGGTTACCAACTGTCTCGCGTAGGCGTCCTTTTTAGGCTAGTTTGATTGCAAATAGAGGGGTTCCGCTGGTTTAGATGGGTTTTACTTTGTTTACTGTGGCATACCGGGCCATCAATCCAGAACAACACCTATGTTGTCTCACTTTCAATTTGAACATTTGCCAGTCAGGCCGTGGTCTGGAATCACTGAAGCGAGATCAAAGTGCAACAGTTGCACAGCACTACATGCAATGGCAAATAGGAAACCTCCCCCCCTGCTCCGGGCAAAAAACAAGAAGCTCGCCTCTCCGCATGTTGCATCATAGACTGGGTTGTTCAAAGACAATCCTTCAGCCTCGCTTGTAGTGGTTGTCCAAGAGAGGTTGTGGACTAGGATGGCCCAAATCTTGCAAGATCTCTTGGCTGCTATTGGGTTGGATCTTTAGGCTTTAGCTTTTTGGGAAAAACGTGTTTTCCACTAAACCCCCAAGAAGTTAACCTTTTTGCAGGGGGCCAACGGCAACCAAGAATCTTGCAAGGCCCCTCACCTTTTGGAGTGAACTTGTCCAGGACAAGAAGCTGCGGATTTGGCACTTCTTCGCCCCTGGCCGGCCAGCCAGGAACCCAGCCCTCTGCATCGTGCAAACCAAGCCCAAACCCTGGTTGTTTTTTGGGCCCCAAAGAAAAGCAGGTGGTTGAACAAACCTTGCGCTTCCCAGCCGTCCGGTTCCTTTTAGGTTCTATGCTTTTACATGTTGAGGATTTTGGCAGGGGTTCAACCTACTACAAGTTTAATGTTTAGCAGGGGATCTGAGGCCAGGCAGGGTCCTCCCCCCCCATTCGTTGCCATGACGCGGAAGCTGCCTAGGAGCCAAGCCCCATTGCCACCGCAGTCATCAGCCGGACGGCTCAGACGCGGGTGACACCCGGGGAAGCGCCTTGAGCACCAGACTTGTGGCACGAAGGGGGAAACGCGGCCTGCTATGACTTAAGGGAAAATGACAGGTGCAAAGTTGCCATTTTGATTGTAGAGCTTCGATTAAGGCAGGTCAAGGCGCAGAGGAACAAGGTTTTGCCTAGGGAACCTTGGCAAGATGAAATCTTGGGTTGGGGGAAATGACGCTGCTTGCATGTGAGTTTATGAGCTCAACGATCTGAACTACGAAGGCCCTTTACGCGGGGCTCCCGTATTTCGCATTTGGTTAAACCGCTCAATGGGAACCCTGGATAGTCAATCCCAGTTAAGCAGGGGTGGTGAATTACCATTTTGGGAGGGGAACACCCCCCACCAATAGGACGGGTTTAGACAAATCCGGGGTTCTCACAAAGTTTCCGAGCCATCCCTTTTTGTTGATAAGAGGAAAATCCAAGGAAAACCGCTATTTAGAGTAAGGCACTGCGCCGAGCCTTCTTCCTGCGCGCCGGGGCCTAAGTTCTCGGGTGAAACGCTGCAGGCAACAAGCCGCCAGGGGCAACTTTAAAACTGTTGCAGCAAAGGGATGCCTAAATCAAAGCCACCGTTTGTTGGGCCCCAGCGAGCTCAGGGCCAGGAAACTCGAGCACACCCGCGAGACACGTTCCCTTGCCTGATTCGTGTGCCAGCTTCTGCTTGCAAATGAGAGGTGCGTGTGTGCGTTTTGCAATGCAGGCATTTTAGCAGGTATCTCAGTGCTGCCCATTTTTGTCATTTCATGCCGCATGAGGCAACACACGCCACAAGCCTGAGCCGTGAGCCGACAGATTCTCTTGACGCTTTGCCGCTGTGCCATGGCCACGAGCACATGAGCTGAGCAGGGCAGCTGCGACCAACGTGTTTTTTTGCCCGCGTCCTTACGGAGGTTGCGCGGAGCGTGTTATCCTTGTCAGCCGCTCGGCGCAACAACGCAACAAGTGTTGGACACAATCCCTCTGTTCCTGGTCTGTTTCAGCACAGTTCAACCCACAAGTTGGCTCGAATTGAATTGGGGAATGTGTCTTTGGTTTTCGGGATGTGTTTTTTTTTTTGTTCTTTGTGTGTGAGATCCATGGTGGGCCCCAACCCCTCCGACCCATACTCATGGCACGCACGCATTTCGCCACAGGTGGCGGTCGAAATGCGCACCGACGCCTCAAGGCTCGAAAGCCATTTTTTTCACCGGGGGGTCACCTCAAGTTAGGTACTCTAGGTCAGTAGTGCCCTTTCTCACCCCTTTTTTGGGGGGAGGGTTCCCCTACTAAATAGACCACCGAAAAAAGGGTGCCCTTATTCCAGCCTTTCTACTGGAGGACCTAGTACTTGTATCTCACGTTGTGACCTTTTGGAGTTCCACCCCCACAAAATTGTGCTTCAAGGGACCGAGCCTCCAAAAGGTACCCCCCCCCTCCCTGTTTTCATTTGGTGCCCCTTTCAAACCCCAAAAAGGGAACGCCGCAAAAAGCCCCCCCCCCTGCTCCCCAATTTGCATGGGAGCAAACTTGAGCTCGTCATCTGGCCAGGCCCATTGCTGTCGCTCGATTGGTGGAGGTCGGCTTTTCGGCAGCGGACAGCCGGCGGGCGCTGGAGCAAAGCTGTTGGGACGTGCTACCCGGCGCAGATAGTTTCGGATCGGAACATGGCGGTACATCCAGCTTAAACGCTCTGCGCACGTTCCCTGCAATCTCTGAACCATTGCTGGGATCATGCCCTTCCGTAAGAACATGCTTCTTCACATAGCGGTGCATCCAACGCACCTGGGAATCATGCCCTTCCGTAAGAACATGCTTCTTCACATAGCGGTGCATCCAACGCACCTGAGAATCATGCCCTTCCGTAAGAACATGCTTCTTCACATAGCGACATATGGCGGTGCATCCAACGCACCTGGGAATCATGCCCTTCCGTAAGAACATGCTTCTTCACATAGCGGTGCATCCAACGCACCTGGGAATCATGCCCTTCCGTAAGAACATGCTTCTTCACATAGCGAATCTTCACATAGCGGTGCATCCAACGCACCTGGGAATCATGGCCTTCCGTAAGAACATGCTTCTTCACATAGCGGTTCAACGCACCTGGGAATCATCCTTCCGTAAGAACATGCTTCTTCACATAGCGGTGCATCCAACGCACCTGGGAATCATGCCCTTCCGTAAGAACATGCTTCTTCACATAGCGGTGCATCCAACGCACCTGGGAATCATGCCCTTCCGCAAGAACATGCTTCTTCACATAGCGTTGCATCCAACGCACCTGGGAATCATGCCCTTCCGTAAGAACATGCTTCTTCACATAGCGGTGCATCCAACGCACCTGGGAATCACGCCCTTCCGTAAGAACATGCTTCTTCACATAGCGGCGGCGGTGCATCCAACGCACCTGGGAATCATGCCCTTCCGTAAGAACATGCTTCTTCACATAGCGGTGCATCCAACGCACCTGGGACTCATGCCCTTCCGTACGAACATGCTTCTTCACATAGCGGTGCATCCAACGCACCTGGGAATCATGCCCTTCCGTAAGAACCTGCTTCTTCACATAGCGGTGCATCCAACGCACCTGGGAATCATGCCCTTCCGTAAGAACATGCTTCTTCACATAGCGGTGCATCCAACGCACCTGGGAATCATGCCCTTCCGTAAGAACACGCTTCTTCACATAGCGGTGCATCCAACGCACCTGGGAATCATGCCCTTCCGTAAGAGCATGCCTCTTCACATAGCGGTGCATCCAACGCACTTGGGAATCATGCCCTTCCGTAAGAACATGCTTCTTCACATAGCGGTGCATCCAACGCACCTGGGAATCATGCCGTAAGAACATGCTTCTTCACATAGCGGTGCATCCAACGCACCTGGGAATCATGCCCTTCCGTAAGAACATGCTTCTTCACATAGCGGTGCATCCAACGCACCTGGGAATCATGCCCTTCCGTATGAACATGCTTCTTCACATAGCGGTGCATCCAACGCACCTGGAAATCATGCCCTCCCGTAAGAACATGCTTCTTCACATAGCGGTGCATCCAACGCACCTGGGAATCATGCCCTTCCGTAAGAACATGCTTCTTCACATAGCGGTGCATCCAACGCACCTGGGAATCATGCCCTTCCGCAAGAACATGCTTCTTCACATAGCGGTGCATCCAACGCACCTGGGAATCATGCCCTTCCGTAAGAACATGCTTCTTCACATAGCGGTGCATCCAACGCACCTGGGAATCATGCCCTTCCGTAAGAACATGCTTCTTCACATAGCGGTGCCTAGGAATCATGCCCTGCCGTAAAAACATGCTTCTTCACATAGCGGTGCATCCAACGCACCTGGGAATCATGCCCTTCCGTAAGAACATGCTTCTTCACATAGCGGTGCATCCAACGCACCTGGGAATCATGCCCTTCCGTAAGAACATGCTTCTTCACATAGCGGTGCATCCAACGCACCTGGGAATCATGCCCTTCCGTAAGAACATGCTTCTTCACATAGCGGTGCATCCAACGCACCTGGGAAGCATGTCCTTCCGTAAGAACATGCTTCTTCACATGGCGGTGCATCCAACGCACCTGGGAATCATGCGCTTTCGTAAGAACATTCTTCTTCACATAGCGGTGCATCCAACGCACCTGGGAATCATGCCCTTCGGTAAGAACGTGCTTCTTCACATAGCGGTGCATCCAACGCACCTGGGAATCATGCTCTTCCGTAAGAACATGCTTCTTCACATAGCGGTGCATCCAACGCACCTGGGAATCATGCCCTTCCGTAAGAACATGCTTCTTCACATAGCGGCGCATCCAACCGACCTGGGGATCATGCCCTTCCGTAAGAACATGCTTCTTCACATAGCGGTGCATCCAACGCACCTGGGAATCATGCCCTTCCGTAAGAACATGGTTCTTCACACAGCGGTGCATCCAACGCACCTGGGAATCATGCCCTTCCGTAAGAACATGCTTCTTCACATAGCGGTGCATCCAACACACCTGGGGATCATGCCCTTCCGTCAGAACATGCCTCTTCACATAGCGGTGCATCCAACGCACCTGGGAACCATGACCTTCCGTAAGAACATGCTTCTTCACATAGGGGTGCGTCCAACGCACCTGGGGACCATGCCTTTCCGTAAGAACATGCTTCTTCACATAGCGGTGCATCCAGCGCACCTGGGAATCATGCCTTTCCGCAAGAACATGCTTCTGCACATGGCGGTGCATCCAACGCACCTGGGAATCATGCCCTTCTGTAAGAACGTGCTTCTTCACATAGCGGTGCATCCAACGCACCTGGGAATCATGCCCTTCCGTAAGAGCGTGCTTTGTCACATAGCGGTGCATCCAACGCACCTGGGAATAATGCCCTTCCGTAAGAACATGCTTCTTCGCATAGCGGTGCATCCAACGCACCTGGGAATCATGCCCTTCCGTAAGAACATGCTTCTTCACATAGCGGTGCATCCAACGCACCTTGGGAATCATGCCCTTTCGTAAGAACAATGCTTCTTCACATAGCGGTGCATCAACGCACCTGGGAATCATGCCCTCCCTTCCGTAAGAACAGGCTTCTTCACATAGCGGTGACATCCACCCAACTGAGGGGGTCTCCGCCCTTCCGTAAGAAACATGCTTCTTCACATAGCGGTGCATCCAACACACCTGGGAACCATGCCCTTCCGTAAGAACATGCTTTTTCACATAGCGGTGCATCCAACGCACCGCACCTGGGAATCATGCCCTTCCGTAAGAACATGCTTCTTCACATAGCGGTGCATCCAACGCACCTGGGAAGCATGCCCTTCCGTACGAACATGCTTCTTCACATGGCGGTGCATCCAACGCACCTGGGAATCATGCCCTTCCGTAAGAACATGCTTCTTCACATAGCGGTGCATCCAACGCACCTGGGAATCATGCCCTTCCGAAAGAACATGCTTCTTCACATAGCGGTGCATCCAACGCACCTGGGAATCATGCCCTTCCGCAAGAACATGCTTCTTCACATAGCGGTGCATCCAACGCACCTGGGAATCATGCCCTTCCGTAAGAACATGCTTCTTCACATAGCGGTGCATCCAACGCACCTGGGAATCATGCCCTTCCGTAAGAACATGCTTCTTCACACAGCGGTGCATCCAACGCACCTGGGAATCATGCCCTTCCGGAAGCACATGCTTCTTCATATTGCGGTGCATCCAACACACCTGGGAATCATGCCCTTCCGTAGGAACACGCTTCTTCACATAGCGGTGCATCCAACGCACCTGGGAACCATGACCTTCCGTAAGAACATGCTTCTTCACATAGGGGTGCATCCAACGCACCTGGGGACCATGCCCTTCCGTAAGAACAGGCTTCTTCACATAGCGGTGCATCCAACACACCTTGGGAATCATGGCCCGTAAGAACATGCTTCTTCACATAGCGGTGCGTCCAACGTACCTGGGAATCATGCCCTTCCGTAAGAACATG